CTCTTTTTGTATATTGCTTTAATGACTGCCTGTGTTTTTTTTCTAATAATATCTATTATATAGGATTGGTTGATCTTTCTAGATAGCCAAATACCAAGAAGCCTTGTTACCTCACTCGGTTTCTTTTCCATAACTCTTTCATTCAATATACCCATTTCAATGAACCTTGGCTCCTTTGTTCTCTCTCTGCCTATAACCAGGAGCTCTGATTTCTTACTATTTATTTCAATATCATTTATTTTGTAAAATTTCTATGCTATCGTAATGATCTCCTTTAGCTCCTCCTTGTTAGATACATGTCATCTGCATATGCTATCACTGGTATATTTATATATTGGGAGAATGTCTCTATTCTACTTAAGTCTTTTGGCCATTTGACTTCTAGCTTGTAGCCTCACTTTTCATTATTTTGTATTTCTGCTAGCAGAGGATCATAAAATATTCTCTAAACCAAAGGGAAATCACCTCCCCTTGATTGATTAATCACCTGCTACAAACCTTTTTGTTGTACCCAGACTTGTTAAGACCTCCATTTCTCAGTTTTTGAACAGGTTTATAATAAAGTTAATTGTTATTTGTGGAATCTTGATTCTTTGTAGCGCAAGACTAAGCATTTTTAGCCCTACTGAATCGAAGGCTTTTTTCATGTCTTGGAACAGAAGCCACTATTTCAGGTATTAAAGTTTTCTTCGATATTCGTATTCCCAATAATGAGAATACAAAGTTATTTGAGTCCAAGGTAAAGAATATTCTTATTAAAGGAAAAGATGATGAAGGAGAAACTGTAGATATGACTAAGCTCCGAATAGAATATGTGAAGGCTTTTCCGATCAGGGGATATCATCCAGAAAAATTGACATATTTACGTATTGTTACAAATACAAAAAAACAAAGATCTATAGCTCTTAATATTATTCTAAAACATAATTCAGAAATTGGAGGTACACATAAGCTAGAAACAGCCTCGGATGATATGAGAGCATATTATCAAAAAGTTGCTAGAGAATATAGGATACCACTTTCTAGATGGGATTATAAATACAATAGCAATGGAATGCCTTATAGTGCTCGCTCACCACTTTGTGAACATGCGTTTTATGTATCTATTAATAATTACTGCTCTATGGAAAATCCCTCAATTTTATACAAAAAGTATCCTTCACAACTTCTTACTCATGATCGAGCATTAGTCCTTACCTGAGATATAGAAACACATTCAATGCTTGGATTAGACCATTTCCCTATAGCGAAATATAAAGAGGATAATATATTTATGATTTGTATGACTGTTTACTGGAAAGATGATTCTACCCCGTTAAAACAAATCTGCCTTGTTGATGTGGAAACGGCACTGGACCCAAATTGGATCATGATTATTTGTGGAAATGAAAGGAATCTATTAAAGGCATTTGCTCTATGCTGGCGGGCTTT